GCAAGTGGAGACAACTGCTGTTCTGCTCAGGAAATACATTCCCACACAGCACAGGGATATCCCAAAGATATCCCAGAGATATCCCCTTGGGACAAGTGCGATGTCCCAGAGACAAGGAGTAGGGACATCTTAGGGATATCAAAATGTCTGGGCCCAATGACATCCCAAGGATGTCCCTTTCTTGAAGAAATAGCACATCCCAGAGATGTCCCAGGGATATCCCCTTGGGGCAAGTCCTAGACATTACTTGTGGGGACATCTCAGGGATATCACAATGTCAGGAGGTAAAGACATCCCAAGGATGTCTCTTTCTTGTAGCACAAGTATATCCGAAGGATGTCCCAGAGATATCCCATTGGGACAAGTGAGAAGTCCCAGGTAGTACTTGTAGGGGCCTTCCTATCCGCAATGGACTCATTTCCTATCGCACAGGAGAACCCTTTGCTTTCATAGATATCAATATTTTACTTAGGAACACCTAATCTAAAGTTCTTGATCGATTGAAGAGTGACGATTAAGGGGGAGGAAAATACCGTTTCTTAAAGAGGACCCCATCATAGGAAACACATCTCCAAGGGACGACAATTGGCACTTTTAACAGAAGAGACCATGGATGATATGATGCAGTCTTATGCCTTTCAAACACTCTGGGCTCAGGCCTCCAACCAATATAGTTGTATCCAGACATGCCGATTAGACATCATTAATGAGAATATAAAGGGATAAATTAAAGTTCGGACCGCAATTTTTTCACTTTCCCTGGTGGCAGTTTTCCTTATGTATGGTACGAAAATCCTTACTTGTCCTCAGGACAAATCAAGCAGATGAATTCGATAGAAAAGATCTGAGGTTGTAGATCAGGGCTCATGGGAGACATCTACCCTCGAAGCTGTGCACCTGACTGAAGGCGACAGAGAGCACTGAAGATATCTTCAAGATATCCCCTCCAGGATGTCTTAAAGATATCCCGAAAGGGATATCTCTAAGATATCGACTGAAGATGTCTAAAAGACGTCCCGAAGACATCCCTTGCGAGATGTCCGAAACCGTCCGAAAGGAGATGTCTTCAGGATATCCTATAAAGACATGGGGACAAGTCGTCTAGTTAGGGACATCCCTGGGATATCCCTGTGCTGTGTGGGACAGGCAGAGAAATAAATAGTTTTGTTGCAGGAGCTGATTGACTTACCCAATATGCATTCACATTTGGTTTTAGCCATTTGATTCAATTGTACAGAAGCCAAATGGCCTGTGTATAATGAAACATAATAAAACAAATTATTGACAGGTCATCCTCAAAATTCTAAAGACACTTTGGGAAGACATTGAGTTGTAGAATATCCTAATAAGATCCTATTCAATGATAGGTAGTTATCCTTGGAATATCTCCTCACTCAGACATATCCATGACTTTAAGTCTGAAATTCATGAAGGGGATCCTTGCCTTCAGGGGATATCCCAGCACCCAAACATTTAAATGACACTCAAGAAGGTGTCTTTAGAACAACTTTGAGGTGTACGTGTGATAGATAAAAGCCTAAAACTGTAAAAGACTTTTGGATGGAGGTGTGCTTCCTATGAAATGCTGATTCAAACATGTAAAGTAGGTGTGGTCTCAGCTCCAATGCAATTTAATTTTTATAAGCTATACATAATGTGTATAGCAAGCTTATGTGACTGTGTTGAATGTGACAGGAAAGTGTCAGATGTGACATGTTCATAAAATGTACATTGAAACAAAAAGTCTGTACAGATCTTTTAACCCTCATAGTGCCAGAGCTGATTAGAGAGATGCTACAAATTTCATTTAAAAAGGCCAGTGTTGAAGAGCTGACGATTAAAGGGTTAAGAAATGTTTCTAGTCTGAGCATTCAATTGTGTTCCTTCTCAAACTTTGGACATTTTAGTGCCAGTTCTTTGACCTGGCATTTTTAAGCGATATTTTTAGCGTTGCTCTAAGTGACTCAGGCACTATAAGGGTTAATGTTATTTTTAATGTATCATTCAAATGTAAACACTTGACATCTACACTTCACACCTGATATGATTTGAAATCACCAGTATGCATAGGAAAATGCATGGTGGTATCTGTTCCAGTAGTACAATTCAGTCTCTCCAGATTTGTATTTTCATCACATACATGAATATTTTGAGAATGGTATGAATAATAAACAGGATGGGCCAAAAAAGTACCCAGTTTCAAAATGAAATCATAGGATAACCATAAAATATAGGATTAAATAATAAAATGCATTAAGTAAAAAGCCAACATTTGTTACAAAATAATTTTTTTTTTTGTTGCAGGTTCAAAATGCCTGAATCAAACAATAAAGAATCTTCATCATTGAGGTGCATATCAAAGCTTAATAAGTAATAGTGACACAGCATGCATTCAGAAAGGAGTTTCCAGAATGAGAGACCAACAGCTAAGGCAATACAACGATTTCTGACCTTTATCCCTTTCATTTGGTCAGAATTCATCATATTGTCTGCTTATTAAATGCCAATGATATTGTCATATCATTGGCAATTAAAAAACAGATCAGTTACCTTTACATTGACCATTCCATGTGAGATTCTAGCATTCTTGAGAAGAGACTCCTGTATTATACTGGTACCATTGTAGTATCTAGTGTGCCTTATGTATCAGTTTCACTGAAAAAGAAAATAAGAAATTCTCTTCTTTATTTGTGACAGCTCTCAAATCAACTCAAAAGAATAAGCACTAAACATTGGGTATTGAACATCTTATACATATACACATAAGTGTAGCATGGATGGAAAAAGTGAGGGGGCACAGGCAGTGCCATACTGAGGATATTTGGCACCCTGTGTGAGACATCAAGCCATCTGCTCTCCCTCTATACCTCCCCAGATTTTCCAGCACCAACATTACATTACATATTAATTATGTTTCTAAGTTTAGTTAAATTCAGGATAATTTACCTTTCTATTACAGTTTCATTCATATTTTATAGTGATTTGGCAGACAATCGGCACCGTGTGGGTGCACCACTCGTAGCCCCCTGGGTACAGCTCTGCCTCTCACTCCCCAGTCTTCCCATTATCTTCTTTTTTGCCACTCCTACTACATATGATCCTCATCCAAATCTCCTATTCCATCCGTGCATTTCCTAGCAGTTTCTTCATTTTGAATTTCATTTCCATTTCCTCATATAGCATGCTGAAAGCGATGGCTTTGTTTTTGTTTTCTTTAAGCAAAAATAGGTCATTTTTGCCAAAGAGTGAGCAGTGTGAAAAAGACAACCATCTAAAAGTTATCATTTCATTTCATCTCCTTGACAAAGCATTCGTTTTCAGTTGTTTTACAAGACTATGCACTTATAGTCAAATTTTAAGAGAAGAAAGGTTCAGGGGGAGATTTGGGAGGGTCGGTTCAAATTAGTTTAATTTCTACAAATTTTTTTAAATCGCAATTAGAAATTTAATAGATGATTCTGTTGATGAACCTAATCAATTGACAGCCCTGGAATGAAGCGATGTCTTACCTTTTCAAAATGTTAGATTTCTATTTCTATTTAGATGTACAGAACAGTTAGAAGAATGTCCATTCACAGGTGTAGTTCTCATGATACTGGTCACAAAGCAAAGCAAACGTAGAAAAATTCAAAACGTCTGTGACGTATGACTTCAACTTACTGACTTCTATTCTTTTTGTCAGTCTTCTGGAGCATACAATCTTCTTGAACATATGTTTGATCATATACAGTACTTTTTTATTACAAAACATTATATTATGAAGAACAATGCATTTGAAAGTGAAATCTCATCTATGACAGCATTGATGGAAGTATTACAGTTGATTCACAGATTCATTTTCACTAACGAAAATTTCTTAACTCCAGCAAAACTTTTGGTCATAGTATAGGTAAACGTGCATTTTCCTTGATTAGATGAAACACGTTTTTTGTGATGACTGGGGAAGTCATCACAAAAAATGTGTAGCTTCAACTGAAGAGATGTGCGGTCAATTTTTTACTTTTAGTGGGTGCTTGTAGAAAATGAATCTTGGAGGAGGGGGAGGTGAAAATTTCATTTCGTAGTGGAAAATCATAATTCACTTCTCATTTGAAATGAAAAATTAATGTAGAATTTATATAGTCTTGTTTAAGTAATTATGATGAATTTGTACAATTTTTATGGTATTTTTGTAATAATTCAGCAGCCAACAGGTGCCCTCCTCAATTCGGCGCACTGTGTGGGGGCACCACTCACACACCCCTTGTTACGGCACTGAGCACAGGACAGAGTGGGGGGGGGCATGCAAATTCTGGGATAGTGGGATACATGCATTTCTGGGTCTTTTCCTCTCTTGTGGCTTTTTTTTCTTGAAAAGTGGGGGGGGGGGGCACATGCCCCCCTTGCCCCCTCAACGCTACGCCACTGCATATACATGTATGTGATGTTCATATTTATCTCTGTAACTATTGTTCTGGGTCTAATGGACCCTGATACAAAAATTTTGCTATTTGTGTAGGCTGCACCATAAACTTGTAAAGTCCATTACTTGGTGTACTTTCACAAAGACATGTAGCAGTACTTAGGCAAAAGTACTTTGAAGAGATTCTTTGGGAATGAAAAGATGAAGCAGGAGTTAAACATATGACCATCTGGGTTCTAGTTGTTACAGGGTTAACTGCAACATATAGCATATCCAGCCATTTGACCATGGAGCCAGGAGCCACAAGACACACACAGTTGCATAGCTTTGAGGATAAACACTATCACATTATGAAGTTGAAAGGAAGCATATGATCAAACCCATAATTAATGGCTCTGGACATGGTTGTTGACATTGGAAACAGATTTCAGACAAACTCCACAGGGGGGATCTGAAGGATCAAACAATGAAATATCATCATTGGGCACTATGAGGGTTATGTACAAGCACCTTGTGTATTGTGTTCTTCATGTGCACACACTGTGACTTTAGGCTGGAAAATTTTAACCTGGAAATCAATGTTACAGTAGTCTCTATTCCAAATCGTATGTGACTGTTTATTCTCTCTCTACATAGGTACTCCCATCAGCAGGGAATGGCAACTCACTGAAAAATAGTATTATAATAATCTTCTGTATCAATCAGCATGCAGTTTCATAATGCTCAGATTCAGTACCATAGTTTCTGGCAAAAAACCATAAGATTCATCACACACAAAAATAAAAGTTTGGAACTCTCAGCAATGTTTTTTCAATCTTAACAAATGAATTTTTACAATTGAGCATGGGAATGACTGAGATTTTGTACTTGGCTTCATCATCTTGTGCACTTTTGGAGGAAAGAATAGAATGTGAAAAGGAAGGTTCTTCTGCAGGATTTTGTTAAGAGTCATTACAGATAATACAAATAATCAATGCATCAGCCAATCTCAGGAAGAACAGAGAAAGTCTCCTTTGAGATATATTTAGTAAGTTCTTTATGGGAATGTATCAGAATTCTGAAAATTTTCAGAGTACTTTCCCAACATCAATTCAAGCTGTTGAGTAACAGGACACAGTAGATGCAGCCAACAATGCAATTAAAAAAAATAGTATAACATGAAACAAAGTTTGTCATATCAATAACTGCAGCATTTCCAGCATGAGGAATATCAGAATGCTCATCATCTCCATTGCTCACTTATTTCCCTGAATAAAGAACTAAAAACCTCTCCAGGCAAACATGATACATTATTTGATACTTAACCATAACATGAGACTCATATTGAAAAAACGCCCAAAATTATGGGGATAAGGGTATTGGGTTTTGAGATTCACTCGCAGATTAAACCATCTGGTATCAGATCCATGAAGGATATGTGCCCGTCCAGGTTCATGCATTCATTCATTCCTGCTCTGGTGCACTAGAATGGAAGCCTGATCATCTCCAATATTCTTCTTCCTTCCCGTTTCCATGTCCTCGGGTCGAAGAAGGAAGGCACACGTTTGGAATATGAGTGAGAGAGAGAGTGAGAGTGAGAGTGAGAGTGAGAGTGAGAGAGTGAGAGAGAGAGGCAAGATGACTGCCAAGAGTGTGTGCTTGTGACTCAAGCGTGAGAGCATGGCGAGAGTGTTTGGGAACACACATCACGTATCCTGAGCCTTGGGGTCATGTCCCATGTCTCTCAAGGGTAGGACCGAGAAACCGTCTTCGTGATCAGGCACTGCTCTCTCCAGCATCACCTGAATATCCAAACATATGTACTACCTTTTCAAAACAACTGATATCCAAGAATGAGAAGACGAACGAAAAAATATCAAATGGGCTCTTCGAAACGGTAAGTGTATAATTGAATAAAGGTAACCCTGAGGAAGGAGACCTTGTATCCTCAAAACATTGGTCTCTATTAAAAAATAAACTGGTGGTTCGGGGTGCTCTTTTGATATTTTTTCATTCGTCTAAAATCCTCCGGCCCTCTGTATCCATACGGATCCTGGTTACAGTTAGTGTAGTGGAAGGGTGGTTGACTGAACATTAACATTTACCTGATGAAAAGGCTTTTTATTTTGCGGCGTCTTTTGACAGAGTCGCCTTTATTCATTCAGATTAAGAGACAGGTCGATGCTGTTGCAGGTGAAAAGAATCTTTACATAATTTAAAATCGGTCGATGGGTGGCAAAGAGGGTTCAGAATAAATATTCCAAAGGAAGAATAAGAATAATATGGCAAGGAAGATTGTCAGCATTTCGGGTCTCATTAGGGCGTGGAAACGAGACCAACCGGCCCTCGATGTCTTCCCTGAAGTTTTTCGCGTACTATCGACCCACCCTATTCTACTTTCCCGAGGTCAGGTTCATTAATATCAATATTAATCCATTGGTGCCACGTGCGATCATCGAATCCCAACGTGATGTAGAGAAATGGCCTCGGGGGGTCGGTTGTCCTTTTTTTACGTCGAACCTGTTCCCCATTGCGTAATAGAGAAGAAAAGACGAACGCCATACCTGGTAATGGGAGTATGGGACTAGGTAGAGGAGGATGCCTGTGATGAGGCAGAGGGTGAGGATGATGCAGATGACAACTGAGACGATGGGCTGGAATTTGGCAGCAGCCGTGCCGACCGTAGCGATGAACACGAACATCAGACCGCCCGCCATGGACACCCCACCCCAGATCAGCCATGGAAGCATCCATGAAGGACGACTCTAACATTTTAGAAATAAAACCATGTTCAAACGATGAATCATAACTGGTTGATTTTTGTGCTGCGCTACGCAATCACATGCATAAAATTCAATGAATCGTTGCGGAGTTGCACAAACGGGAGGGGGGGAAATGCCCTTGAAACAATGACCGTGCCAAACACAGATCATACGTACAAGCACACGAGTGCGTCACAAGAGTAAATGATTTATGATTGGTCACATGACGTGCACCTACCGTGTTCCTCACGGCGTGGATCATGAGGCCAGCAAACACGGAGCTCATCATCCCTCGAACCATCAACCAGGCCAAAATATACCACAGCTCTGGAATCCGAGAAGAATCTATAAGAATATGCCTCCTTTATTTTTTTCCTTACGCGCATTGCTTCACCATTCACCTGCAGCATAGAGGAGGAGGAGATATTCTCCCGCGAGGATCGAAGAGACAATACAGATCACGAGACAGATGAGGCTGAAGACCTAAAAAAAATCAATCACATTAATCAACTTGGTCTCCGATGACGCGAGCTTTCATTTCCGGAGAGGAGCAACTCACGATATCAGCTGTGCCGATGATGAGAGTCCCCGTCCTCGTATTGAAGCAAAAAAATCTCCGGAATAGCCCGTGGGAAGCCATTTTCTCTAAACACTCTTTGGCCCAGCTCAATCCATACAGATCACTCGATCCTCTCTGCAACCAGAAAGGCAACCAGTCGTCGGATAAAAATCTTGGAAGTCGAAGAACAGTAAGTCACGGGTATGAATTGTGATGATCTGGCGGTCGTTTGCAAAGCTGCATCATGAGGGATGGCTTGCATCGAATGATCCCGCAGATGGAGACACGAAAGCAAAAAGAAACTCAGAATTTGGGCCTTCTTTCAGCCTGCTACAGAGGCTCCTCGAAAACAAAACTTCCACTCCACTTGACGTAGCAGCCAAGATGAAGACGCTTTGCTCTGTCATCTTGGGTCAAGTCTCAGACTTGTGAAGTCATCGCAGGGCAGAAGCGAAACTCATTGTCCTCATTACGCGAAGACGCGCAGGACAATGACGATTCCCAGCCACGTAGAGCAGGGAACAACGCCAGAGCCTCTCTGATTCCAACCGTGAAAGTACAGAGGAGAAACCCCCGTGCTTCTTCTGTACCGGATGAGACGCTAAATTGAATAACGCTTCCGGCTTAGAATTGGATGGCACTTTATAATGCCGGATGTCTTGCGACAGATTGAAGCAACGTGAAATCGGACACAGCTTCCTGGCTGGTCTCGAGAATAGAATGTCACTGAAACTCGATATCGAGACCCACATCGACGAAATGGTTAAGGATACGTGAGAGGAGAAAGAAATAAAAATCCAAGATCTCGAGGAATCCTGCTCGGAGAACAATCGTAGAATGCTCTCACAATCCAACATTGACAATATATAATCGACTGGGACGCGTGATAAAAGAGCTTCTCTCTCTCTCCTTGATATGACCTCGAAGTGGCCAGTAAAAAAAAAAAAAACAAATACTGTGAAAAAGGGAGTAGGGGGTTGGGCTACATTTCAACGTTTCCATGAAACTTTTCACAAGATACATTCCAATGCTGCTCCGTGCCTCGATGTTGCAGGGCCAGATTACGGAATAGAGGAAAGAGCGCGCCTTGGGGAGCCTCGTAAGGGGACGCCAAACTACTGGATATGACGAAGAACAATTCTTCCACTGAAATGAAAATATTTAATCGGGAGACGATCCCTCCATCACCTCCCCTTTACGAAAGTGTGTCAAGGGGTGGAAGGAGAGTAGCGTGTTCTGAACAGGGGCGCCTGAACCCTTAATCCAGCCCTGTGCATTATTTATGATCTCACATATATTACGTAGATTTCCACGTAAGTTATATGACTATTCGATCGACCTGCAAGCCGCAGCATTCTCTCATCGACGGTACCCATAGTCCTAAATAACGCAGTGTGAAGGGCTATAGCGCGAACAATAGGAAAAACAAAGACGGGGTGACGCATGTGGAGGTGCTATCTCACATTGCGACTATAATGAAGCGCGAGGGGTTTGAGGGGCTCGTTCCAATGCGGAACGAGAAAAGAGGAGACGCGGAAGAAGGACGGAGCTGAAACGCGTGCATGCGCCACTAGTTGCATCGTCTGACCTCGATGCGTTCAAGACGCATCTGAGCCATAACAACAACACGATTCTACTCCACCCTCACGAGACGTCCTAGCGTTGGGCTTGGACTCACCTTCGGCAGCGTGCCGAGAGTGAAGGGAAGATTCTAAAAGCTTGGAGCTTCGAAGTAGGAAGAGACACACACGTGGGTGAGGTGAGAGGAGGGAGGAAGAAGGAAGGAAGGAAACGAGGAAAGGCTCCGAGCAAAGAAAGGCAGGGGAACGGAGTGAAGCGACGCTGCTACTGACGGTGTGCCATTGCACGAGTCCCACACTGCCCTGGCCCCCCCCTCTCTCCTCGTCTTCCTCCGACGCCCCTCCTCTTTCGCGATCCGTTTTCGTCCAGCTGTTATCTGTTACCTCAAGTAATTCATGGATAAGATCCTGCGTTGTCAATGAAAGGATAAATACCATATACGGACAAAGAAACGCTGTTACGTGCTCACGTTCGTTCATTATATGAGATACGCGGACATTTAATCCATGAATAATCTCAGCAAGCAACATGGAACCGTTTTGTCACTTCATGCGTACAATGCACGGATGAAATCCCATTTACTTTTGCCACACCCGCGTAAAACTCTCGCTCAAACACGAAAATGTGCGAAGAGATAGGGGTGGCATATGCGTGAAATGCCTCGTCATTTCCGCATTTCCGCGCGCGCGCGCGCGCGTGTGTGTGTGTGTGTGTGTGTGTGTGTGTTTGTGTGTTTGTGTGTTTGTGTGTGGGGGGGATTACGTACCATTTCCTCTCACTTTTTTTTCAGTTAAACGCATATCTTTGAGTTGCGGATCGAGTGCTGGAATTCGCATTCGCGGAATCCTGTTTGCCCATTTACACTTCTGAGAAAATTCCTACACCCGCGCTTTTTAGTTTCGGGTGCATGCACTTTCATATATGGCGAAGTGACTCGAAAATGTCCAAAATAAGATTTCATAGCATAGTACTACATAAATATGCATGCACAGGTCAAAAAGAAAAACATCCACACAAAGGGAGTCGGGAATAGGAAATGCTATGGTTATGTATGAATCAGCTGACAGTGGAAGCGGAAGGGAAGAGAAATAGATGCACAAGAACTAGAAAGCAAATAGGAGGTGGGGCTTAGAGGGAGAGAGGGAGGAAAGAGAGCAACATGGCGCCTTACGTGAACATGCATCACATTCGCTTCACATCACATACTCGGCCCTTTTCCACCTGTCACTCAGCCGAACCTAGGCCATACCAGGAACCTCCTCAGAGGCCGCTGTGCTGATCAGGCTATAGCTTTACTGTTACCATAAGTTGCAGCGTATGATGGGCTTGGTCAGAGTTAAAATTAGGCTGGGGCCTAGTATATCCCGTTATGCGTACACAAGTATGGCTAGCCAGTAAATGAGAATTCCTGACAAGGGTTGTTACAATGGATCGATGTCACTTTCGATAGTCGGAGGCATAGATGATCTACAATCATGATGGTTTCCCCGCTTCCCGATCTTGATCGTGGACAATAGATGATAAGACAGATGGGAGGGTTCCCGCCCTTAGAGTAAAAAAGGAAAAAGGACGGAAGGCAGGCACCCACCTGATCGCAACGAGATATGGAGGTATCTATCAGCAAACCCCCCTTCCCCCCTCCGCTCCAGAATCGATCGCGGCGAGAAACGACGGGAGGTGATAGGCTCATGGACTTCATCCAGCATTCCATTTCCAATAAGAGCTTGCATGTTATTCTTCCGTTGTATGCAGCACTGGTAAGACCCCATCAAAAGTATTATTTTCAATTCTAAAGGTCCCTCCCAAAAATCTATCTGCTAGTGGGGTAGGCCTATCTTATTCTACATGAATGCTCAACCTTGACATGGGATGTCATGCTGGGGCCAAGTGCCCCTTGATGTCCCTACAAGAACCTTTAGCCTTGGGGTAGCCATTCAAACTGAAAATATAGATGGGAAGGCTCCAAAAATACTTTTTCTTGGTTAATTCACTTAATATTCATATTATTCATTTGACTTGGACATATTTTTGCAAGATTGAACTCTGACACCCTGGCCTAGATCTAGATGGATCATGAAGTAATTCGCTAGTACTACATGGTGGGGATGACAGGTTTGATCTGATCTATATTGGATATGGTGTTTCATGTCTCCATCTGCCCTTTAAGGCTCAGCCAATGTTTTCCATTCTTGGGCCTATGAAATATATGTAAAACAATACTGTTCCACCCATATGAACATGTGCTTGAGTTTTGCTGGCACCTTCCTTCATTGTAATTCTGGGCTCATTTTTTTCTTAGTAGTGGTCCAGTCTGAGCAGAACCATGCCCTTTCACCCAGAGGTCCAGCAGATAACAAAAAGGTGGATCTTCTACAAAACCCCTGACCCACCCACAAATAATGTAGATGGTATGGGAAAAAAAAAGATTGATTTTACCTTAAACCTCTCTGCTCATAGCAGAGCTGTTTTTGTTAAACTTTTTCTGTACATATATGTGCATGTATCCAAATGATTCTCAAAATTCCACCTGAATTCCTTGAGCCAAAGTAGTATCAGCAATTTTTGAAAATGAGTCAGATGTTGAGAATGGATAAGGGTAGTGCTGCTAGTGGAGTAGATGAAGTACTTGAGAGCTGCTCTTCATAGTCATTGAGACCACATCGAACTTCTCTTCCATTTAAATTCATTCTTTAGGCTGGTTGTCTCTTAGGGATGGTTTTTTTTTAATGGTAGTATCTGTTATGATTTTGATTTTATCAAAAGAATTAAGAAAAACTTGCCCAGTATGGGAGAAAGGTAGACATTCCATGTTCTAACCAAAATTTTGCAATATGTGACTAAAGGAGTCCTTAGATACAGACACTCTAAGTCGTTGGTCTTCTTTGCTATGTCATTTAGTCCTTGTCTTTACATTTTCTGTTAATAAAGGAAATTCTGAATGTACATTGAGATAAGTCTGGATTGATATTCATTGATTCAGCTGTTATTCATTGGGAATAAGCTCATGAAAATCATATGCATGAGATGACCAGTCCTAAGAATGAATTTGAATTAAAGAGTTTTACATGTCCTCAATGACCAGAAAGGACAGCTCTTGAGTGTTTCCTCCACTCCATTAACAGCAGGAGCTTTTGTTCTTTCTCAACATCTACAATGTCAATAATTGCTGATGGTATTGCTTATGCCAAATAACATTTGGATGAAATTTAGATATTTGATTGGAAACATACTGAAATATGCATGATGGAAGTTTTGTGAAAATAGCTCCAGTGTGAGGGGAGACACTTATATTAAAAGTTGTTGGTTTTTGCCATACTCTATATATTCATAAACATGGATAAATTTGAATGTTAATGTAGGCCAAACAGCAGAAATGTGATGGAACAAAAGTGAGAGGGAAGCAGTGCAATGTTGAACTATACCCTATATATTTTATTCCTTGAAAGCATGCACTCAGTATTGAATTTGAATAAACTTTGTGCAGTGTTTTGAGGAGACCTATCCACTTACCACTTTTCCATGGTGCTGCCAATGGTGCTTGAGAGAGACTTAGAAATTCCAATGGTCATTAATGGCGAATGGGTTTAGTGATGAGTCAAGTTCATGGAATAACATCCCTCCCTGAGTACGGGAAATACTACTTTGCAACTTGATTGCAGAGCCATGGGAAAGTATGGAGCACATGTAAAAGAGGGCAAAAGTAAATCAGAAATGACTAAAATGTATGGTTGTAGTATCCTAGATCAATGGTTCCCAGACTTCTTTGAATCACAACCCACTTGCTGACATACAGAAAATTTCATGACCCACCAGAGTCCAGAATGAGGTTTTTTTCAAAGTAATTATGACTTGAAGAAAACTGATCAACCTGTTCTGCAGGGCATGTTTTATCCTGAGCGGATGCGGATGTTATGATTTTTTGTACTGGGAAAATGTACCCACCTTGATGCCTCTTGTGACCCACAGTTTGGGAACCACTGTCCTAGATAAGTCAAGAAAATAGTGTTCACGAGCTCTTAACTATTGATATAGATTACATCTAGTTTCAATTTAACTCCAGTTTAAATTCAATTTCTTTACTGCAAATGAAGATGCAATGAACTGGTTTGGCACTGTAGTTTTGTCAGTATGAAGAACTCATTAACTGGAGATTAACTGAAACTGAATTAAAACTGAACTGAGACTGATATTAAACTGAATTCCTTGAATTCAGTGAATGGCTTATCTGTTTCAGGTTTGTTGTTATTAGTAATAGAAGCAAGAGGGCATTACTGTGTTTGGCTCTTGGTACACACTCGTTGCTTTTGGAACTACTTGTTTTAACTCCAATTTTTTCTCCCTTTCAAATAATAAAAGCCAGACAGGAACACTAGTTCAACACTGGTTTATGGTCAGTTTACTGAATATTAACTAAACTGAAGAAAATTATTTTACATGGCCAGTTTATTCACAGTTTCAGTTTATGGGGAGTAAACTAAATGAAGCTGAATTTGATGACATTAAGTCACTAGTAGGCCCTACATAAATCATTGATTAGAATATTCTGAATTCAGAATATTCACAACTCGATTCACATCTCCATATATACAATGGTATAATGACCCCTTTTAGTGCTGCTTTAGTTAGCATTCTCTTTTCCAGGAACGCATCCTGAGCGCTAAGCAGGGTATTGCTGTATTACTTAATCTGTGTGACAATCTCTCCTAAACCTTGGGGATATCACACAGCAATAAAACTCTCCCTATTTATACTGTTTCCAGATTGAATTTCAACCCCTCTGGGTAGTGTAGAATGGAAGGAACACAACACTACTTTAAGAGGATCTGGTTGACCAGATAATCCAAAAAAAGACTACCTCTGAGAAGGTGTCACTACGTGCAATAGATGAAATCACTTCAATGGGGAGGGGGGGGGGGGGATTCAATCTGAAAGCTAGCCCTTCCTACTAGGCCTAGTGATTTTGGGGAGTGGTGTAAGGTGCTGAAAGCTTCCATGTTTAACTTTCCTTCGTTATTAATGCAGATTTTCCTTCTTTATCAGCCACATGTGTATCAGAGTAATAAGGAAGGGACAGTATGAAACTGAAAAAAAATCACAATTTGTCATATTGTTGAGAAAAACCAATTTTCGTTATTGTGGCATGATAATCAGCAATGCCCTACTTAGAACTAGGTCTCGTTAAAAAGAAGAAGTTTGGTGTCACTTAACCATTGCTAGGGGCAGGCTAATCAATCCTGACTCAATTTGATTACGTACGAAGTGAAAAAATCACGAGCGGAATAGGTCTGAGATTGAA